GGCTATATGTTCGCTATGAAATACGCGGGAAAAAAATATTATACATGGAGATGTAGTAAAAAGAGTTCTTTAAACTGCCCAGCTATTCTCTACACCTCTATACTTTTAACACACCCAGTACTCAAAGTAATGCATGAGCAACCAGCTGAACCAGCAAAAATTGATGTTGCAAAAGCCATCAATAAAATTAAAGAGACTGGGAAGTGTTCTGGAGCTAATCCGTCGCAGATGTATGCTGAAGCTGTGTCTCAATTAGAWGACTACACCAGAGCAAGGATGCCTGTCGAAGAAACATTAAAACTAACTATTAGAAACTACAAAAAAAAGAAAAATCCTATCGATCCAGCTACACTAGACGAACTTAAGATTTTGGTAAGTAATAAAATTGGTTGACACATATTAACGAAATTTAATTTATTTTTATTTTAAATAACTTTAAATGCTTGTAACAAATTTTAAAAAATTTTTAAATATTTTTCAACTACTATTGTAACAATATATTCGTGAATACGTTCTAAGTCGTGATGTTTATGTTACGTGGAACCTTGTTCAAATTTTTAACCCTTAGCTATAAAAGTTAAACATTTTATAAATTTTTAACAACTAAAGAATTTGTAAATTTTCAATTAAACAAATTTTGTCAACATTTGAATTTTAAATGGTTATAATTTTATAAATAAAAAACTTGACTATGRGGAACCTTATATTAAACTTTCAAGTTTTTTGACCCAACGGATAAAATTTTATTGACATTTATAATAATTAGAATAAAAAACTAAAAAACTAAAAAAAACAAAAATATGTTGAAAATTGTATGGTGTATATAAAAATCTATATTAATTATGTTATTAAAAAATAATAATAATAACAAAKCATTGTAAAATCAAAACATTCAGTTATTAATTTTATTAATTTATGTTTAGGGGGAGTGGTGTTCTACAGGAGAACCACACAACAAAGTACTGTTACTTGATACAACGGGAAAGAAGCAAATGAAAGGATAGTGATGTTTGCGACACATGAAGGGCTTGTCAATTTAGCAAGTTCTTCGAAATGGTATATGGATGGAAACTTTGCTTTGGCTCCAAAACTTTTTAGTCAGCTGTATGTCATACGTGTAGAAATAAATAGAAATTTTACAACATCAGTATACATTCTCTTACAGAATAAAACTTTGACAACTTATGAGAAAATGCTCACTACACTTTTAAAAAAATGTGAAGAACAACATTTATTTCCTGATCCTGTGGTAGTACATGTTGATTTTGAACGTGCAGTTATCACAGCTATCACACATGTTCTTGGACGAAGATATACACATTCAAGATTGTTTCTACCATTTAACTTAGTCGACTTATCGGAAA